ATCAAGTTCAACATAAACAGATAAAAAAAAAAAAAAAAAAAAAGAAAGTAGATCAAGTTCAACATAAACAGATAAAAGAGGGCAGTGAGCATTCCACACACGAACAACCACTAAAAAAACAGATCTGGACACCCTACTATCTACTCTCGCATAAATGACCCCCGTTCTCCAGGATGCCGAGGCTGTAACTTTAAAGTAAGCGACGGCCAGTCCCGAAATTCTTCATGATTGGCTTGTTGGCCCCCAGATCTGATAAGACTCAAACAAAACACAAGAAACAGAAAGAAAGTAGAGCAAAGGCCACCAACAGGGCCACCAAAGAACCGTCAGACCATCGAAAATGGTCACCGGACATAGGAACACGGTTGACCGGCTCCACCATGCTTGAGAAGCCCTCCGGCTGCTCAAGCATCAAAAACTCGAGAAGCCCGGAGGTTTACGAGCACTCAAATAGGGCGAGATCTGGAGAGGTTTAAGGCAGAGGCTGGAGATTTCTAGAGAAGATGGATAAAAGGGAGAGAGAGAGCAAAGCATTTCCACCGCAATCTTAAATGGCCTGCAACTGCGTTAACGTTTTTGATAGTAAATTATTTATTAGGAAATGGGTTAAAGCCAACTATCGTCCCTCTACTTTGATATTTTGTTCATTATCATCCTTGTACTAAGAAAATGTTCATTGTCATCCTTCTACTTCACCTATTGAGTTGATTGTCGTCCTTGTACTACTCAAAATAGGTTAATTGTCGTCCTTCATAAGATGTCGTTAGTAACTTGTCATTATCGACGTCCATTTTATTGTTGTCTTTTAATGGTAAGAAATTTGGGAGATTATTTTATTTTTTAAGCAATAAGTGTAGGACCCACTTTAGCCCATGTCAAATTATAATTTATAATCCCCTTCTCTTTTTCCACTATGGCCCTTTCCATTTGAAACTTCCTCCAATGGTCAACCCATTTTCTGTAGAAACCCATTCAACATTAACTGTCCGTGTTGGGTTCAGCAAGGGGTCTTTATCTTTTTAGCTAACAAATTATAGGTCCAAGGGAAGTGGAAAGATTCAAAGAATGAAAATGGTCATTTTTTTACTGTAGCTTTTTAGTTTACTGCATTTGGTTTATTGGTTGTATTGAATCTTTTTAGAATTCTAGTATGTTTCAAGTTTAGCATTTGATGCATAATGGGCAAACAACAGTGATTCTATATAAGGGTTATAGTATAGCCTCTAAACTCTTATAAGAAATACACTATTTTTTTTTTTTTTTGTTGTTTAAGAAACAAATATACAAAGAAAGATGCCATAAGCCTTACCTCTCATGCTGGTTTTTTTACATAACTTTATACTTGTATTAGTAGTCAAAATCAATCTCAAAAGAATTTAAAAGAACTCTATAATTTGATACATTCTTAGAAACGAAAAAAAGACAAAAATATCAAATACAAAAGATTATATAAAATACACTAATTTTGAAAATAAATAAACAAAAATCATAAAAGTTCTCATCAAAATAAATAAATAAAATCATAAAGGCCTATTTATTTTTCCTTTCTTAGGTTAGCAATTTAGCACTGCATTTCTTTTTATTTATTTCTTTTTTCATACAAGTATAACATTCCATTTAATGACATTAAAATTAAAAATGAAAAAGATACCCATGTATAGCATATATCCAAAATGCAAAATCAGAGCATGTGTATCCTTTCATAAAAATTGTGCCTTTCTATTTCTCTTTTCATGTATATCTTTTAGGATGTTTTTAATTTATGAGCATGTGTGCCTTTCCATTTTCATTCTTTGAATCTTTTCACTTCCCTTGGACATATAATTTGTTAGCTAAAAAGATAAAGACCCCCTACTGAACCCAACAGGGACAGAAAATGTTGAATGGGTTTCTATAGAAAATGGGCTGACCATTGGAGGAAGTTTCAAATGGGAAGGGCCGGAGTGGAAAAAGAGAAGGGGATTATAAATTATAATTTGACATGGGCTAAAGTGGGTCCTACACTTATTGCTTAAAAAATAAAATAATCTCCTAAATTTGTTATCGTTAAAAGACAACAATAAAATGGATGTCGTTAGTGACAAGTTACTAACGACGTCTTATGAAGGATGACAATTAACCTATTTTGAGTAGTACAAGGACGACAATCAACTCAATAGGTGAAGTAGAAGGATGACAATGAACATTTTCTTAGTACAAGGATAGTAATGAACAAAATATCAAAGTAGAGGGACGATAGTTGGCTTAAACTCTTAGGAAATTAAATAAAATTAAATAAAATTAAATAAAAATTAATTAATTCTTTTATGAATTAAGAAATAATTATAAAAGGTGAGATTTGATTTAATAAAATTAAATAAAAGTTAATTTATTTCTTTATAATAAATTAAGAGTTACTTATAGTAGGTGGGACTAATTAAATGAAAAAATCTATTAATTATTTTATTTTTTAAATATAAATAAAATAAAATTAAGAATTAAAATAGTTTTTAAATTATTTAAAATTTAAAAAATTCACACAATTATCTTTTACATGATGGATTTTCTACCTAATATTGAAAATGCAAAATAGTCAATCACTTAGAGAAAGAATTAGCTACATCAGCACTTAACTTATGGGAAGATGAAATTAGTGCTGAAAATTGAAGTTAAAGGATGTTTTTGGTACTTTTTGAAGTTTAAGGATGAATTGGTTCAAAAATAAAAGTTAAAGGGCCAATTTAAGTATTTAACCTCAAAAAATATGTTAGTCACATCAACACCACCACCTAATTAATCATTAAATAAAAAAATTAAAAATTAACATCCTTAAATAAAAAAAATTGAAAATTAACATTTTTATTTAGAAAAAAATTAAAAATTAACATTTTTATTTAAAAACTAACAAAATTAACATATTTAAATAAAAAAAAAAGGCCAAATCCCCTATTTGCACCCTCCATTTATTTATTTATTTTTTTTGCGGTTAACACCTTTCAGAAGTTTTCCTCCCTATTCACACCTTCAATTTTTCAAAACCCGTAAAAAACCCAACATTTTAACACGCCGTCACGGTACCATTACAAAATGCACTACGTGGCATCCAAAAATTGACGTGGCCACTCTGTGCCGTTAGTAATCCAATGTGGATGCCTTTTCTTAATGATGTGGCTTGACATGGCATAATTTTTATGTGAAAATTTCCCAACCAAAAAAAAAATAAAAAATAAAAAAAATAAGAACAGGAGCTTTGGATTCCTTGTGAGGAACCCAAGCTAGGTTCCTTGGGAGGAACCCAACTTTGGGTTCCTCGTCGTGAGGAACCCAGATCGGGTTCGAGCTGGGTTCCTCTGGAGGAACCCGATCTCAGTTCCTCAAGAGGAACCCATGAAGAACCCGAGCTGAGTTCCTCCGGAGGAACCCAGATCGAGTTCCTCACAAGGAACCCAGAGCTTCTGTTCTTTTTTTTTTTTTTTTGGTTGGAAAATTTTCACATAAAAATTATGCCATGTCAAGCCACATCATCAAGAAAAAACATCCACATTGGATTACTAACGGCATAGAGTGGCCACATCAATTTTTGGGTGCCACGTAGTGCATTTTGTAATGGTATCGTGACGGCGCGTTAAAATGTTAGGTTTTTTACAGGTTTTGAAAAATTGAGGGTGTGAATAGGGAGAAAAAATTCTAGAAGATGTTGACCGCAAAAAAAAAAATAAATGGAGGGTGTAAATCGGGGTTTTTGCCAAAAAAAAAGAAGTAAAATTGACATCTTTATTTGTACCTTTACTCCTATAAGTTCCAATGCATAAGGTGAGTGGCTAAAAGAGAGCTAAAAACAATGAACTTAATACAGTGAGGACTTAAATGTAGGCTTTTGCCTTAAATATCTTACATGAATGCTTAAAATGTTTAATTGAATTTGAAACAAAAACTCATAAGAGCTTACCATTTACCCTTTAATAAATGCATATAATTAAAAATAAAAATAACTAGCTACTTTATTGAACAAACCTAAGTACTTAGCCAAAATATAAGTTGTAACACTTAGAAAACAAAAATAATACATTACCTGAACATAAGTTCATTTTGACAGTGAATGCGAAACATTCCTAAAATTATGAATCAAATTCTTAGAAATTTGCAACACTGTCAGGTGACTTTCCTAGACTCTCCTCATTGGTTTCATCTCTATCTTTATTCAAGCTGAACCTCCTAACAAACTCATCTTCAAAATGGAAGAAATCATAATTGTAAAGGCATTGAGATATATCTAACCAAACTTACTGCCAACAACTTTAGGAATCAGATCAGGATGTCAACCTTAGTTTTCAAACTAAACTAAAAGAAATAACCACCAAATAGAGCCAAGCTAACACCTTCACCATG